TTATTTTATCTAAAAAATTAATAATTCCCTAGCATCATAAAAGAACCAGTGATTATTCAAATTTCAAATAGTCTGAATCATAATCTGTGCATTGTGATTATGCCTTTTCAGTCTTCTTTAGCTTATAAGTCCCCCTCGGCCCCATTTGCAATTTATAATGGAAGAAGCAAGGCAGGCTGTTTATCCTATGAAATTACCATTAGACTGGATTTTGCTGATCGTATCCCTGTGGCATAGTTTCACATGTTCCTTTATTCTTCTGCACTTCCTATAAATTGATAGGTGGATATGTCCCAGATTTTGTGCACCTTCAACCACCTGGTACATAGTCAAAAAGCAATAATAACTCATTCCCTCAAAAAAAAAGGTTCTGAATTTTGTGATAGCTGTCACAGGAACTAGATGCTTTATTATATATATAAGATATAGAGGCATCTTTAGTTTTCATTTAGATGATTGTGTATAATACATGACTGAAGATTAGAATTTACAACAAGACTGGTTATAGCAAAATGAGACGAATGTGTGTATAGTAAGGGGGATAGAATTATCAAAAGCAGCAAAAGGAATATAAAGGTACAGTATCCTGGTGTCATTCATTTTAAGGATAGACAGCGTTGTTCACTTAAAACTCCCTAACAATATTACTGTTTTTAAAAACTGGCAGTATAGTATGTTCTCATAATAATGAGCTCAATTCATCAGGAAAGGTGAATTAGATTTAATTTGGATTATTTTAAAGAATCACAACAACAACAACTAGAGAGTCAACAATTTGGTACTTAAAGAATTGAAGAATTATATGTCATATTTGTAAAATATGGTGTTGTGGTTAATATGAAATCTCTGCTAATATATTTTCATATAAAAAGTGTAGAAATTATTCTTTATATGAATAACTGGGAAATAAGATTTATTGGTTAATCAAATATTCAGATTCATAAAATTTTCTGTATAAACTCCATATAGATCACCAGTTCTTTTAAAATGATTGGTTTTTCATAAAATAACTTTTATACTAAAAGAAGAACATAATTTGATCTTTCTTTGATGATTCAGAAACTTATGAGGGACTGTTTACTGCATCAGAATTACTGTTCTTTAAAAATTAAATTTATTGGAAGAAGGAGTCATTGGGGGAAAAAGGGGAAACATTTGTAATAAAAATTAAATTTATTGGGGTAACACTGGTTAATAACATTATATAAATTTCAGTTGTACAACTTTACAGAATTGTTGTTCTTAACCTTGATCATCATTAAATTGTAGCTGTGTAGTAAGTTGATTAATGCAGACTTCCAAAGTATTATTAGTTATCTGAGAATTATCACTGGATTAAGAAGGCCCAAATGGGCTTTGTTAGTATGATATTCACAAGAGTCAAATAGAGACTTATAGAAACTGCTAGGCATGGATATATATATGCAGCTGCATACATAGATAAATGTTTACCTGTATGCATATGTGTACATATTACTGTCAAATTTATAATGTGTATTGTTAAACATATACACATGTGTACCGACTTGTGACATGTGCAGCCATTAGTACTAAGGAAGCTGCAAATTGAAGGGATTTGATCAAAATTTACCAAGAGGAAATTGGCTCCAAGGCATAATGATTTTGGCTGGAGAAGATAGTGATCCTGGCACAGTATACTCTCTATTTCCTTGTGAGAGCTCCAAGATGAAAAGAAATAGCTACATAGAGGCAGATGCTTGGTAGTTTTCTGGAAGCACAATTATAAGGTTTATGAAAAACAGGAAGACAACATCTCATACATTTTTTTAAAACTGGGAACTGATTTAATGTGCTATTTTGTACCCCTTCGACCTTGTCTATTGAGCCATGATAATTTGATTTTGTTTGTATGACTTTTTCTTTTACACTCTTAGTTTAACTGTGCTAGCTTTGGAGAGAAATTGTGTCTTAAAATGCTTTTCAGATAATATTTTTTAGACTGTTCAAATTTTTTTAGCGTTTTATTTTATTTTTATTTATTTTTTTATTGAATTTATTGGGGTGACATTGGTTAATAAAACCATACAGGTTTCAAGTGTATAAATCTATAACACATCATCTGCATACTGCATCATGTGTTCACCACCCAAAGTAAACCCTCTTGTAATGATTGATGACTAGAATTAGTCATATTGCAATATTGTATTTTCAGAGTTGCTGTCCAGTTTTCTTTTGTCTACTTCTGCTTATAACTACAGATTAGCTTGGTTTCCAACAGTTAGAATTTCTGTTGACTCAGGAAAAAACTTGGATCCTTTAATATATTTAACTTAGTTTGTAATGAATTGAATAGTAGGGATCATTCACTTGACAAATAATGTGAGTGCCCACTTTGAGTATCCCATGACGTCTAGCACAGCCCTTCCTCAAAGATGAATAAGACACTGTCCCTGTTCTCAGATAATTTATAGTTTACAATGGGATGATAATATGAAGTAACTATATCATCCACACAGTCCGTCATTCTTCATGAACATTAGTGGGTACATTGCATTGGAGAACTTTCTTTTTACCTTTAATTTTCAGTGCCTGAGGCGCTTTAGCCATTTTTCTGCTGTGTTTTGCTTACATGACACCAATAAACATCTCTGTATCTACCATAAAGGAAAGAAACATAGAATAAACTAAAACATATCTGTAGGAAATGCCCTGAAATATTAATTCAGGTGTTACAAACTCAGATGCCTAGAGGACTCAGCCAACTAATACACACGACTGGAAAGGACAGGTATAAAATACACAGTTGAAAGTGGTAGGGATTGTTACCTACTGAAGTGTGTAGGCTTTGTCTAAAGATGTTCAAATAAATTTTTTTTTTTTGTGGGTCAAAGAAAGCATGACCACAGACCGAGGATGACAACTTGGGACCCCTTCATAATTCCTTAATATTAATGAAACCATCACAAAAACATCTGAGAGAGAAAAATGGTAATTTAAAATTAAACTCAAGTAATCCAATTTAAGAGTGATCACACCATTTAATAAGAAATTTGGTGCTTTTGGGGAGTATAGGTGACATTTAAATTAAGGATGATGGGGTCCCAGGAGGAACCTGGAAGATACTATAGATCTAGGCAGATGAGGGGATCAAGTTTAGTAGAATCCACTACTGTAGGAGAAATAGGAATTAGCAAGAATGATGTTGGCTCTCCATCGTGGGTTTTTTTTCCTCCTGGGTATGTGTAGCCTTGGATTCCAGGTGTTAAATTATTGTTAGAAGTAGATCAGAAGTCTGGAGACACATTCTGTTACTTCCTGGGAAATGTGTGGGGCACTCTAATGGAAAGCTCTAGGGCAGTGGTTCTCAACCTTCCTAATGCCGCGACCCTTGAATACGATTCCTCACGTTGTATGTGGCATATCTGCGTGTGGGTGGACCTGCCTGGGGACGGATAGAGGAGCGGTGTCTTGGTTCCTAAGACCATCGGAAATATGTGTTTTCTGAAGGTCTTAGGCGACCCCTGTGAAAGGGTTGTTCGACCCCCAAAGGGGTCGTGACCCACAGGTTGAGAACTGCTGCTCTAGTGAATGGAGCCTTTAGCCAACATTTAGAGGGGTGGGGAAAGTATGGCCCAGGCCCGTGAAATCAATACCAGCTAACATCACACGCCTCACCAAATTAGCTTGACCAAATATAGCAGGCTAATTTTTAAGTTGGTAATTTTGCATGGCCCAAAAATGATGTTATAAATAGCCAAATGGCCCTTGGCAGAAAAAAGGTTCCTCACCCCTGAGTGGATTTTATGTGAAGACCTAATGAGTTTATGTGAAATTATTTGGGCCTTTGATTACAATGAGAAAATTCATCAGGAAGATGATCAAATTTTCTGGGTTTCCGCCTTGCCATTGGAATGCCCAAACCTGACACCCAAACTCGCAAAAGAAATTCTATTGTCTAGGACCAAGAAGTAGGTACCACTTACCAGGCCTATTGAATCAGTGCCTCAGAGGGTAGGACCTGAGAACTTGTCTTTTTTGAGATGCTTTCCCAGTTATGCTGATGATCGTCAGGATGGGATCTATAGCTGTAGGTGGAAAAGGTTTCATGTACTTGCTGGAAGATAGTAGGCTTCCTTGGTCATTGAAGATGGTGTATGGACAGCTTTCTATTAAGGGATTTTTTAAAAAAAGTGGTGTTTATTGATAGAACCTCATTCTTTTTGAGGATAGTGAGTTGAAGGCAATAGAATTTGGTAGCTTTGTTAAGGTTCTTGATGCAGTTCATTGGAGGGGTCTGTATTCATGATTATTTATCCTGAGACACAGGGAAGGCTATTTGGATGGTGAAATTTGAAACAGATACTTTTCTTTAGTTAACTGTGAGGAGCACCACAGTTAAAAGAACTGGTGAGGGATGGCTTTGGGGGCTGGAGAACAATGGTGAGTTTTAAGGAAGTGAAAATTGATGAAATTGTGTAATCACAATTGCTAAGTTGACAAATAGTTAAAAAGCAGTTGCTCTGGCTGCTTTCTGGGGCCCCAATTTTCAGTCTCTTTGGAGAGAGAATGTGTGCAAAAGATGTAAAATGTTTACTAGTCAAAGTACTCATTTCAGGTTTGGCATGGAGCCAGCATTCATAAGACACCACAGTACAATTTGTATGTGCTGATTATGTTTCAGTCAGGTGGAGTAAAGTTAAAAATATCTCCTGTTTACAGGACTGTGAAGCCCCTGAAGCCTCCTCTCTCAGCTGGTGCTAATGAAGGCTGGGCTGCTGCTTGTGTATATAGCCCCACTCACATGCCAGTAATCAAAGTATCCTTTCTGGGCTGGAACAATTGTTTATTTTTCTCCTTTACATTCTTCAACAGGTCTGGCTTTTTCAGAAGTCTGGCTTTATTACCCTCTGAATCAAATAACTTTTTTTATTTGTTCCTTAGGAGAAATAATTGTTATTGTTGTTGGATGAATGGGAATAGGTTAATCCTCTGTGTAAATTTTCCTGCACATAATGTAAGAAGCTACTTAACTTTTTTATCTGGCAGAAAACATAAGGTTCCAAAACAAATCTACACTTTGGATTAAAGGACTCTTGAATAGTTCTGTGGCATGGTAAGAGTTCATGTACCTCTCCTTCTATTCTTTCTCTTAGAGGAGGTAAAATCATAATATGGTATCAGCATTCTTTTATTATTTATTCACTATCTCCCCCTAATCTCCCTCTTCTTCCCCTTTCCTCTCCCTCTTCTTCTTTTTTAAGTGACAGAAAACCTCATCGAAATTGGCTCAGACAATAAGGGGAATTCATTGGCTTACAGAATTTAAAAGGGCTTCAGATAAGGGTTGGTCCATGGCTGAAATAATGTCATTTAAGTACCTAGTTTCTTTCTATTTCTTCTCTGCTTGGCCCTCCACTGTGTTGACTTTACTCTTCATCTCCATATTCACCCAGCAGCTCAAGTCCCTTCCCTTGTGAATACAGAATTGTTATTCTGGTTCAGACTTTTATATTCTCCTACCTTGAGAAGAAAGAATGCTTGTATTTCTCGGAAGTCCCAGGTGATGTTTTCATTTATCTCATTGGGTTTGATTAGGTATGTGTTGAATCAGTCGTCATGATAGAGGCGTAGAAAATATTGATGGGGTTAGGCAGTCAGAACGTCTAAGAAGCTTGAAGTGAGGTTCTTACTGCAAACCCGTGCCTGGGAATGGGAGGGGTGGTTTTTCCAAGGAAATCTGGGTTTATGTTACCATAACGAGGTAAATGAACATCAAACAATAGATGTCTGCTAAATGTGGGTTTAGGCCAAGATCATTATATGGACCTAGGGCTAGGGGATAGAATTTTTTTTCTTTCTTTTATTTTTTTCCATCACTATTTACCCCTCCTATACCTAACTACACCTTCACCACCCACCCCGCAATCACCACACTGTTGACCATGTTTATGAGTTCTTTCTCTTTTTTAAATTTTCTTGTGTGCTCAATCCATCCACCTTCCTCCAGTGTCCCCCAGAGCTGTCAGCCTGCTCTATCTGTGAGTCTGTCTCTTTTTTGCTTGTTAGTTTAGTTTGTTCATTAGATTCCACATATGAGTGAAATTATATGGTACTAGGCTTTCACTGATTGATTGGCTTATTTCACTTAGTAAAATGTTCTCCAGGCCATCCATGTTGTTGCAAAGGGTAAATTTTTTTTTTTTTTTTTTTTTACAGCTGAGTAGTATTCCATTGTGTAAATGTACCACAACTGTTTTATCCATTCATCTACTGATGGACACTTGGGCTGCTTCCAAATCTTGACTATTGTTAATAATGATGCAATGAACATAGAGGTACATGTATTCTTTCAAATTCATGTTTTGGGTTTCTTTGGCTAAATTCCCAGAAGTGGAATCACTGGATCCATAAGTCAGTTCTATTTTTAATTTTTTGAAGTACTCCATACTACTTTCCACAGTGGCTGCACCAGTATGCAACAGTGCATGAGTATTCCCTTTTCTTCATAGCCTCACCAACACTTGTTTGTGGCTTTATTGATGATTGCTTTTTTGACAGCTATGAAGTGATATCTCTTTGTGGTTTTAATTTGTATTTCTCTGATGATTAGTGATGTTGAGCATCTTTTCATGTCTGTTGGCCATCTGTATGTCCCCTTTGGAGAAGCGTCTATTCAGGTCCTTTGCCCATTTAAAAAAAAACTTTTTTTTTCTTTACTGATTTTAGAGAGGAAGGAAGAGGGAGAGCAAGAGATAGAAACATTGATGAGAGAGAACATCTATTGGCCACCTCCCGCATGCCCCCCACTGGGGATTTGGCCCACAACTTGGGCATATGCCCTGACCAGGAATCCAACCAGCACTCTCTTGGTGCATGGGTTGACGCTCAATTAGTGAGCCAAACCAGCCCGGCCCTTTGCCCAGTTTTTAATTGAGTTTTTTTTTTCTTTTTTTTTAATGTTGAGTTTTGTTAAGTCTTTATAAATTTTGGATATTAACTCCTTATCAGATGTATCAGTGAATATGTTCTCCCATTCAGTGGGTTGTCTCTTCATTTTGTTGATGGTTTACTTTGCTGTGTAAAAACTTTTTAGTTTGATGTAGTCCCATTTGTTCATTTTTTTCATTTGTTTCCTTTGTCCGAGGAGTGGGAGGGAGAGTTTTTAGGGGGAATGATAAAGGCACTGAAAACTCTTACTACCCCGTGGATTGAATTTTGTTGATATCCTTTCCTTTAGTTGATGGCCTATTTTGTGTGGCTTTTTCTTTCTTGCTGTTATAGCTGCATTTAGCTGGTATAACAGGAAGAGCTTAGGGTAGTCTCCTTTTCAATTGGAGTTGCCACTAATTATTAATACACAAATTGTGTTACTAGGACATTGGTGGCTCTAAGACCACTGGCCAGGAAAGCCCAAGACTGGAAGAGTGACTAAAAGAAGGTCTGGCAAATACTGCAGGTCTGGAGTTAAGTCCAGGGAGCTAAGTTAAGGTGAGGAGAAGCAGTTGTACAGTATAAATCATTGTGACCCAGGGGCCAGGTCAAGCTAGGGAAATCATCTAGGGCAGGGTCAGAAACCAGGTGTCAGAGCCTGCAGGTGTTTCTCTACTTAAAACTAACAACTTGTTTGGAGCTGTTTGTCCTCTGTCTTCTTCCATACTGTCCATTCCTATGGGTCTCTTTGTGATTATCACAGTCGAAAAGAAATGAGAATCTACCCTGAGATGTGGTCCTAACTGAGGCAGGAAAAGAGTTGTTGGTTGATACAGGAGAGTGGACAGGAGTCTTATGATGTCGTGACTTATCTACAGCTAGAAAACACTATGCTGGCAGCAGAGGATCACTCAACTCAAATTGTCTTTCATCATATTTAAGTAATTTACTACAAGTGTAGAAGTCTGTGGGCAGGAATCAGGATTCTTTTTTTTTTTTATTCTCACCTGAGGACATTTTTCCATTATTTGTTCAGATAGAGTGGGAGGGAGAGAGAGAGAGAAACATCAACGTGAAAGGGACACATCAAGTGGTTGCCACCTGCATGACCCAACCAGAGCTGGGGACAAACTGCAACCGAGGTACATGCCCTTAGCGGGAACCGAACCCGAGCCTCTGGACCACAGGCCGACGCTCTAACCGCTGAGCCAAACCGGCCATGGCAGAATTCTTAACCTTCTAAGTTTAAAAGGCATTTTCTAATGAAAAAATGAAACCCGAACAAAGTATTTGCTTTAACTAAATAACTGCAGTTAATTTCTTGTAAAGAAACACAGAAGCACACATTAACTTAAAATAAGCTCACACTGTTGTTTCTTGTAGTACAGCCAGGAAAACCAGTAACAAGCTGTCTCCTTCAAAATTACATCCCTGGATGATATTCGAGCAACCTGGACAATTTAAATACATCCCCAGGAAAAACAATTTGAATTAAGTTAGAAACCATATTTTCTAATTTATTTTCTGCCATTGCAACATTCCCTTTTATTCTCAGAGACTGAGCAGCATTGAATGAAAAGGTGTGGCATTAGTGATTTAGGTAAATAGCAACAGTTATTTAGGAGCCACAGCTAATCTGGAACCACAGAAGGATTTTTTTGAGGGTAGTTGTTGGAGTCTTGATGAATTCAATGCATGCTCAGCTTAAAGGAATTTAAGTTTCAATTTTTTAAAAACACTTTGTTACATAAACAAAATTACCTTTTTAATGTGTAGGGTTTTTATTTTATTTATTTTTTATCCTTACCTGAGGACATTTTTCCATTTTTTGCTCAGATAGAGTAGGAGGGAGAAAGAGAGAGAGAAACATCCATGTGAAAGGGACACATTGAGTGTTTGCCACCCGTACGACCCCACCAGGGCCAGGGACAAACTGCAACTGAGGTACGTGCCCTTAGCGGGAACCAAACCTGGGTCTCTCTGGACTGCAGGCCGACACTTTAACCGCTGAACCAAACCGGCCAGGGCTAGTGTATAGGGTTTTAAAATCAAACTTCTACACTGGCATTTTATCCAAAATTGAACTTAATAATAACATTTATTTAATTTTCTGAGAAATAATAGGTATAAAACTTGAGCATTTTAACCTCAAATAGATTTGGGTTTTATTTAATAGATAACACTTTAAAGTTGTATGGGTAAAGACAACATTATATAGAAGAAGTAGAGTGGATTTAGTTATTATTCAATTCAGCATTCTGCAAAGAGTTGAGTAATATTGGATAATAACTAAATTCATCCTATTTCTTCTGTGTTCATGCTAAAATCACTATATTCAGTGATTTTAGTGTTCCCAGTTTTAGTTCTTTTGTACATGTTGTAGAAAAGATACTATTTCTATTCTTCAAGTAGTTAGTTATACTGTTAAGAGCAGAAAGACTAGTAAAGGTTCTGTGGAGGGTATTTCCTTTCTTCTCAGACCTGTTCCACTTGAGGAGGTTTCCAAGATAGAAAGATCTGCTGTCTTTCTTCCTCTTAATAAACAAGGAAAGCTGGACCAAGAGATGTGATGTGAGGTTCCATCTTTCCCCTGCTCTTTCCTACCCCTATTTCTTCTCATCTACTTACCCCCAATTCCAAAGAAAGAAACAGAAGTTAGCACACCGTATAGTCCTCAGGACATATTTAAGGGGGCAGTTCAACATGACATGGGCTGTGTGCTGTTGCTGTAAGAGGAACTGAAAGGCAATCTTATAGCAACTTTTGATAGGCAAGAATGGATATTACAATTAAAAAAAAAGATGAAGCCAAAGATATAATTTTGGAGCTACTTCAGTGTATTTTAGATTAAAAGCATGCCTTCTGAGGAAGAAACTAAATAGGTAAAGTGTATCAATTCTGATGATTCTGACACCCTAGTACAAAATTGGGATAATAGAGAAATTCTGGTGTGATGCACCAATAGATTCTCTTTTGGTAGGTATTTGAAGACTTCCCCAGAACTCCTCTGTTAATTGGAAGTTTTATTTACCTAGCAACTGTGGGTAAGGCTGCCTACTGAGTGACATCAAAAAATTCAGATTTAAGAGTCCCTGTTTTGCTTTTTCTCTGTTATGAGTCTTTTGTTTCTATCATAAATCACATGGAAAAGTGATTTTTCAGCTACAAAGGTATTTGAATATTTTGCCCAAGACATTACCTTTGTTCTTCTCAAAGATATATAATTGTCATGTTCTGTACTGACATAGAATCAGGGTCATATTACCATTAGTAGCCAGTATCCTGCAAGGCAATAAAATCCTTTTAGAAAGATCCTAGGTCACACATTTTTTTGTTTGTTTGTTTATTTTTGTACCAAAAAAAAAAAAAAAGGGGGGGGGGGGGAGGGAAGGTTCTTTAAGAGGTGGGTCAGAACCTTGGAGAGCTCCATAGAAAGCTAGGGCAGAACCACAGCCAGAAGCTTCCTTGGCTGGCCCCAAACACACTAGGTTTTTTGGATGCCAATTCCACTTTGCTATTGACAAAATGTGTGTGATTTAAGGAGACAAATCCCTTTACTCCAAACATTAACTGTGTATTTGTAGACCAATTTGGTGACTTGGGACTAATGTCTTAAAAACTAGAGAAAATTTCAGCACTTCTTAAAGGTCCTCCAGGCCATTTTATGATCTTGGATTCTTAGCAGGGCTTCTGATATCAAGGTGAAGATGGGCAGAACATAAGATTTCACTGAAGTATTCACTATGTATGAGATGAGATCCATTTTTCAAAAAAAATTTTTTGTTTTCAAATGACATCTTAGGTAAAACTTCAACAAAACCAAGATCCAGATCAAACTAAACCAAACCAAAAAAGAATGACGGAGGTGTTGTAGTTAAAGCAGGGTTCTAGAGGTCTGGAGTACCTTCTACTCAGACAGATTACTCCTGGCTCCAGCAGTAGCCACTGAACACAGGTCACAAATTACCACATCAGAGTACATTCAATTTACTTGTCAGACACAGTTCCTAAGTAGGAATACCTTTAGTAGCTCATATTAATCCCAGAAATGACCTTTTATTGGTTGCCTTCTTAGCTATTCATTTGGCTGTCAAGAGGTAGCTTTGAATTAGCTTTTGTGCTTCCCAGAATCTACTGAGTTTTCAAAGACTGTAATTAACGACAACTTCAGACATCATTGCAACAATTGCAGATCTCAGATTAAATAGGCTCTGCCTATAAGAATGAAGAGAAATATTAGAATATTTGAAAATAAAGCCACCGAGGATTACAAAATGACCCTATTTAATTTTTTGCCATACCAAAATTTATTTCTGTGAGTACCCTACAACTTGTAGT